GGTGGTTTTTCCCCTTTTTTCTGGCAAAAAAACCGTGAAACCTTTTTACAAGGATTCATGTTTACTGCATTAACCTACAATACCTGCAGTCAAAATGCAAATGTGGACCAATCAGTTTCAAGGACAATGCATCAAATATTATCATAGTGTGTTTTTTGTTTGCATTTTGACTGCAGGTATTGTAGGTTAATGCAGTAAACATGAATCCTTGTAAAAAAGGTTTCAGTTTTCTTGGCAGAAAAAAGGGGAAAAACCCCTATTATTATATTTTGGTACTGGCAAAGGAGGTCTAATGATGTAGATGCTCACCACGAGCCCTCATTACTTTGATAGTGGCATTGTCTTTGAGCTGTGTGATGCCTTTTGGCGTCATCTGGTCGTGCACCAATTGGGTCGAGGCTCAAAAGAAAGCCGTCCCTTGGTGTGGACCAATCAGTTTCAAGGACAATGCATCAAATATTATCATAGTGTGTGTTTTTTGTTTGCATTTTGACTGCAGGTATTGTAGGTTAATGCAGTAAAACATGAATCCTCGTTAAAAAGGTTTCGGTTTTGTTGCCACAAAAAAGGGGAAAAACCACCCTATTATTACAAGCCGAGGATCGACGGCTGACCAGAGGGCATCGTCGTCGTCGCCGCGCGCGACCGCGGCAGACGCCCCCCCGGGGCTCGCGATTGGCCGGCGGGGTGGCGCCTCGTCGTGTCGATCGCCGCCCGCCGCCGCTGCTGCTGCTGGCGCTTGTTGGCGCGAGTCTGGGCGGGCGGGCGGGCGGCGCGTCGCTGTCGGGATCGCGAGTGGGGCGGGCTGAAAAATAATAATAATTATTGACCCGATTTTTTTGCGGGACCGCCGGGGTCCCGCCAAATGATTCACTCATCAAATAAGTAATATATATATAAAAAACTATTTTTTTTTTTTAAACGCGCTTTCATGAAATGCACCGTCCTCGTAATGTCAGGACTTGGCGACTCCAGGAAGTCGCCCCCGAAGCTCGCCACAACGTGAGGGGACCGTGGTGATTTACAGCCAACGTCAGTTAGTTGAGCTTGGACAATGAGACCCGGGTCGAAACATATAACACGTAAAAAAATGTTTAAAAAAATATATGTATTTTTTCGTTTTTACGATAGAATACAGTAATTGTCGTCAGTATGACGTAAGTATACTAAGTTTACGGTCGATACCACTTTGGGAAGTGGGTTCAAATTGAGTTGCAGGATTTGAGGATACAACAGACAGAGCTAGTTAAATGTAAGCGTTTAAACAGAGCTACACAGCTCAGCGGGGGCCTTACCTGGTAAAATAAAAAAAGTAATTGCACTCTAACCTGTCCTTTTCAATTAATTTGGGTCTTCCGGTAAAGTCACGTAGATAGGTTAAAAAAAAGAATAAAATTTACAACAAAAATCTACGACGTTTTAGATCGCCAAAGCAAGCGACCGCCATCAGGCGTTGCGATCGAAACGACGTAGTTTAGTTTATTGTATTATTTTTTTGAACCTATCTGCGTGAAATTTTGATTGAAAGCTTTCGTGACTGCAGGGATTCATATTCTTGGTTCTTTCGGTAAAGTCCACCACGTTGGAAGGGAGAACAATAAGATGATAAAAAATATAAAACGATACGATTCTCGCGACGTTTCGACTGTAACACAAGCAATCATCATCAGGTGCGAAAACCACACCCGTAGAAGGGAAACAATAAAATAATAAAAATATAAAACAATAAAATTATCACGACGTTTCGACGGCAACACAAGCAATCATCATCAGGTGCGAAAACCACACCCATAGAAGGGAAACAATAAAATAATAAAAATATAAAACAATAAAATTCTCACGACGTTTCGACTGCAACACAAGCAATCATCATCAGGTGTGAAAACCACACCCGTAGAAGGGAAACAATAAAATAATGAAAATATAAAACAATTAAATTCTCACGACGTTTCGACTGCAACACAAGCAATCATCATCAGGTGCGAAACCCACATACGTAGAAGGGAAACAATAAAATAATACAAATATAAAACAATAAAATTCTCACGACGTTTCGACTGCAACATAAGCAATCATCATCAGGTGTGAAAACCACACCCGTAGAAGGGAAACAATAAAATAATAAAAATATAAAACAATAAAATTATCACGACGTTTCGACTGCAACACAAGCAATCGTTAGGTGTGAAAACCACACCCGTAGAAGGGAAACAATAAAATAATAAAAATATAAAACAATAAAATTCTCACGACGTTTCGACTGCAACACAAGCAATCATCATCAGGTGTGAAAACCACACCCGTAGAAGGGAAACAATAAAATAATGAAAATATCAAACAATTAAATTTTCACGACGTTTCGACTGCAACACAAGCAATCATCATCAGGGGTGAAAACCACACCCGTAGAAGGGAAACAATAAAATAATGAAAATATAAAACAATTAAATTATCACGACGTTTCGACTGCAACACAAGCAATCATCATCAGGTGTGAAAACCACACCCGTAGAAGGGAAACAATAAAATAATAAAAATATAAAACAATTAAATTCTCACGACGTTTCGACTGCAACACAAGCAATCATCATCAGGTGTGAAAACCACACCCGTTGAAGGGAAACAATAAAATAATAAAAATATAAAACAATAAAATTCTCGCGACGTTTCGACTGCAACACAAGCAATCATCATCAGGTGTGAAAACCACACCCGTAGAAGGGAAACAATAAAATAATAAAAATATAAAACAATAAAATTCTCACGACGTTTCGACTGCAACACAAGCAATCAACATCAGGAGTGAAAACCACAGCAAGACAATTTGATGATGATTGCTTGGTGTTGCAGTCGAAACGTCGTGAGAATTTTACTGTTTTATATTTTTATTATTGTATTGCTTCCCTTCTACGTGACTTTACCGAAAGACCCAAAGAATATGAATTCCTGCAGTCACGAAAGCTTTAAATCAAGATTCTGTCCTTTTCAAGTCTGTGGTGCCTGTCTTGTGTACCCTGTCTAATCTGTAGCATCTTGCACATGATGTGAACTATAATGTACTGTATCCTGCACTATATAATGTGATTTGTACTGTGGTTTAACATACAGACTGTACTATCTAGTCCATAATAGAAGTTTTTTTTTGGGTTACATCGCGTAAATATAAATGTGTCGTTCAACCCGCCACCACCCGACACAGCCAATTGGGTAAGGTTTGTCGCGTAAACAGAACGTTGCCAATTCGTTACCGGTACAGCACTTACCGGTGTGTTGGAGATTAAATCCACAACGTTTCGCCATTAACTACAACCAGCATCATCAGGCAACAGCCAGAATTGTGGAGAAATCCTCCTGTTTCATTCTTAAATAGAGGAATAGATGCAATGGCGGAGCCAGGATCTCCAAAATCTTGAATAAACACAAGATCCAGGTCCGTTTCAACACATTACATAAAATCCGTGATCTGGTTCCGTCTGTAAAATATGTGATTCTGGATATACAGTACCCTGGTGTCTACAAACTAAGTTGCCTCTGTGGTAGTATTTTTTCGCCATATAGCATTGTGATATATAACGACTTATTGTTGGTAGCTTAGCTGATTGGAGAATATAGAGTTTATTGATAACATTAAGGTAATTTATATTTTAGTTTTTTATTGGTTCACTATATAGTACTGTGAATAGCTCAGATGTGTAGGCCTTGACTTCAACATAGTCATTTCTGTGACCAGTCACTAGCTAATCACTCAGTTATTTCAATGCTAAATTCGCCTAGTTATTTCAATGCTAAATTCTCCTGTTTGATTTGTACTAAGTGCCTCGGTGAATGTCTATGCTCTGACTTTAACGTAGCTATTTCTGTGACCAGTTACAAGCTAATCACTCAGCTATTTCAATGCTAAATTCTATGCTAATTCCTTTGTCAAGGGGTGCCTCTGCGGATGTGTATGCTTTAACTTTTAACATAGCTATTTCTGTGACCAGTCACAAGCTAATCACTCAGCCATTTCAATGCTAAATTATATGCTAATTCCTTTGTCAAGGTGCTTTGTTTCCTCTCACACAGCTTAAAGGTCGTGATCTGAACGTGGCTCTTTCACTCCAGCGCTGTCCTACCAGACAGTCTCGTCCCTTCACCTGATGAAGGCCGCTTGTGTTGTGGCCGAAACGTCGTGAGAATATTATTGTGTTATTTTATTTTATCAATTTATTATTTTATTCTCATTCTACGTGACTTTACCGAAAGAACCAAGGAAGGTCTGTGGTAGTAGTTACATCGGAGAAACCAAACGCCATGTCTCGGACCCCATTCGTGAACACAAAGCAGACCTTAAACACGGTAGGACCAACACCTCGGCCATGGCAGATCATTGTTCTAATTCAGTAGGCTAATATGCCATTGACTTTTCCAAGACAGAGGTTCTTTGTAAGCCATCTGGCTTCCATGAGAGATTCGTTCATGAGGCTATCCACATATACAAGCACAGAGACAATTTCAACCGAGAAGATGGATTCTGGCTTAGCAATCATTGGAAGGATTTGATAAACCATTTCAGGTCTTAATTGATTGTTCACGCTTACGGTGGCTTTCAGACAGCATACATTAATTTTTCGTCTCCCCCCTCCTCTTTTCAGAACATAGATGGACTAGTCCTTCTAAATAAACTGCTAAATCGCTGCGCGTGGCGCTGACGTTTTTTTAAATAAATAAATACACCTTTAAAAATAAATTAATGCAAACCGACACACCTGATGACGACCGTTTGTGTTATGGTCGAAACGTCGTGAGAATTTTTTTATTGTTTATATATATTTTATTATTTTGTTGTTTCCCTTCAACGTGACTTTACCGAAAGAGCTAAGAATATGAATTACTGCAGTCACGAAAGCCTTAAATCAAAATTTATAGAGGAGTTGTTAGTAAGTGTAGGACTTGTCCCTTGCTTTTTATCCGACGCGTGTGCGGCGATGGCGCAGCCATCGATCGAGGGTCGAATTCGAACCGCGTTGTGCGATCGGCATCGCGCTCCGCTGAAGGTGAGCAGCAACAACTCAACGCGTCCTGTATCCACAGCAGATTTGTTGAGTTGTGTCTTAAACCCAAATGAATCCATCTCCAGGCCTCTCTCTCCCCCCCACCCCATGTCCCCTGGCCCCCCACCCCGTAGTGATGATGGAGAACTGCCGAAACGGGGTAGACGTCAGGGTCAGGCCTGGCTCCGCATTTTGTCCGACTTCTACAGCCGAGTACAAGTCTGACTCCAGACTCAGGCCTGAAGCCAGTGACTCCGGGTCAGAGACAGGCTTCAGGCCTGAGTCTGGATTAAAATCTGGGCTTGGATCTGGGATTTTACCCAGGTCTGAGTCCAGGACTGAGGGCGAGTCCGCGTTGAAGCCCAAGTCTCGCTCGGCCTCTGCCTTGGCATCTGGCTCTCGGTCCGAGCCCGCCTCTGACTCTGCTTCCGCCTCCGGGATCGAGCGTGGCTCCGTCTCGACGGGGTTCCGGGAGCCGGCGCCGCTGTCCGCGGCTCAGTGCCAGTGCCCCGTGTGCCTCGACGTGCTGGTGCTGCCCGTGAAGATGCCCTGCGGGCACACGCTGTGCCAGTCCTGCTTCACGCAGAGCATGGACAAGGTGACTGGCGCCCGCCACGTCGGCTACGCACGCGCTCCATCTCACTCACCGTCTATCCCGTGTGTGGACTAACCTCCATCTGTTCCATCTCACTCACCGTCTACCCCATGTGTGGACTAATCTCCATCTGCTCCATGTCACTCACCTACCCCGTGGGTGGACTAATCTCCATCTGTTCCATCTCACTCACCATCTACCCCGTGGGTGGACTAACCTCCATCTCACTCACCATCTACCCCGTGGGTGGACTAATCTCCATCTGCTCCATCTCACTTACCATCTACCCCGTGGGTGGACTAACCTCCATCTCACTCACCATCTACCCCGTGGGTGGACTAACCTCCATCTGTTCCATCTCACTCACCGTCTACCCCGTGGGTGGACTAACCTCCATCTCACTTACCATCTACCCCGTGGGTGGACTAATCTCCATCTGCTCCATCTCACTTACCATCTACCCCGTGGGTGGACTAACCTCCATCTCACTCACCGTCTACCCCGTGGGTGGACTAACCTCCATCTGTTCCATCTCACTCACCGTCTACCCCGTGGGTGGACTAACCTCCATCTCACTCACCATCTACCCCGTGGGTGGACTAATCTCCATCTGCTCCATGTCACTCACCATCTACCCCGTGGGTGGACTAATCTCCATCTGCTCCATGTCACTCACCATCTACCCCGTGGGTGGACTAATCTCCATCTGTTCCATCTCACTCACCTTCTACCCCGTGGGTGGACTAACCTCCATCTGCTCCATGTCACTCACTTCTACCCCGTGTGTGGACTAACCTCCATCTGTTCCATGTCACTCACTTCTACCCCGTGTGTGGACTAATCTCCATCTGTTCCATCTCACTCCCTTCTTCCCCATGTGTGGACTAATCTCCATCTGTTCCATCTTACTCCCTTCTACCCTGTGTGTGGACTAACATCCATCTGTTCCATCTCACTCACCTTCTACCTCGTGTGTGGACTAATCTCCATCTGTTCCATCTCACTCCCTTCTACCCCGTCGGTGGACTAATCTCCATCTGTTCCATCTCAACTCCCTTCTACCCCGTGGGTGGACTAATCTCCATCTGTTCCATCTCACTCCCTTCTACCCCGTCGGTGGACTAATCTCCATCTCTTCCATCTCACTCCCTTCTACCCTGTGCGTGGACTAATCTCCATCTGTTCCATCTCACTCCCTTCTACCCCGTGGGTGGACTAATCTCCATCTGTTCCATCTCACTCCCTTCTACCCCGTCGGTGGACTAATCTCCATCTGTTCCATCTCACTCCCTTCTACCCCGTGGGTGGACTAACCTCCATCTCTTCCATCTCACTCCCTTCTACCCTGTGCGTGGACTAATCTCTATCTGTTCCATCTCACTCCCTTCTACCCCGTGTGTGGACTAATCTCCATCTGTTCCATCTCACTCCCTTCTACCCCGTGTGTGGACTAATCTCCATCTGTTCCATCTTACTCCCATCTACCTGTGGGTGGACTAACCTCCATCTGTTCCATCCCACTCCCTTCTACCCCGTGGGTGGACTAATCTCCATCTGTTCCATCTCACTCCCATCTACCTGTGCGTGGACTAATCTCCATCTGTTCCATCCCACTCCCTTCTACCTGTGGGTGGACTAATCTCCATCTGTTCCATCTTACTCCCTTCTACCTCGTGTGTGGACTAATTTCCATCTGTTCCATCCCACTCCCTTCTACCTGTGGGTGGACTAATCTCCATCTGTTCCATCTTACTCCCTTCTACCTCGTGTGTGGACTAATCTCCATCTGTTCCATGTCACTCCCTTCTACCACGTGTGTGGACTAATCTCCATCTGTTCCATCTCACTCCCTTCTACCCCGTGTGTGGACTAACCTCCATCTGTTCCATCTCACTCCCTTCTTCCCCGTGGGTGGACTAATCTCCATCTGTTCCATCTCACTCCCATCTACCTGTGCGTGGACTAATCTCCATCTGTTCCATCCCACTCCCTTCTACCTGTGGGTGGACTAAGCTCCATCTGTTCCATCTTACTCCCTTCTAACTCGTGTGTGGACTAACCTCCATCTGTTCCATCTCACTCCCATCTACCCCGTGGGTGGACTAATCTCCATCTGTTCCATCTCACTCCCATCTACCTGTGTGTGGACTAATCTCCATCTGTTCCATCCCACTCCCTTCTACCTGTGGGTGGACTAATCTCCATCTGTTCCATCTTACTCCCTTCTGACTCGTGTGTGGACTAACCTCCATCTGTTCCATCTCACTCCCATCTACCCCGTGGGTGGACTAATCTCCATCTGCTCCATCTCACTCATCTTCGACCCCGTGGGTGGACTAATCTCCATCTGCTCCATCTCACTCACCTTCTATCCCGTGGGTGGACTAACCTCCATCTGTTCCATCTCACTCACCATCTACCACGTGTGTGGACTAATCTCCATCTGTTCCATCTCACTCACTTCTTCCACGTGGGTGGACTAATCTCCATCTGTTCCTTCTCACTCCCTTCTACCACGTGGGTGGACTAACCTCCATCTGTTCCATCTCACTCACCTTCTACCTCGTGTGTGGACTAACCTCCATCTGTTCCATCTCACTCACCTTCTACCACGTGTGTGGACTAACCTCCATCTGTTCCATCTCACTCCCTTCTACCCTGTGCGTGGACTAATCTCTATCTGTTCTATCTCACTCCCATCTACCCCGTGGGTGGACTAATCTCCATCTGTTCCATCTCACTCCCTTCTACCACGTGTGTGGACTAATCTCCATCTGTTCCATCTCACTCACCATCTACCACGTGTGTGGACTAATCTCCATCTGTTCCTTCTCACTCCCTTCTACCACGTGGGTGGACTAACCTCCATCTGTTCCATCTCACTCACCTTCTACCACGTGTGTGGACTAACCTCCATCTGTTCCATCTCACTCCCTTCTACCCTGTGCGTGGACTAATCTCCATCTCTTCTATCTCACTCCCATCTACCCCGTGGGTGGACTAATCTCCATCTGTTCCATCTCACTCCCTTCTACCACGTGTGTGGACTAATCTCCATCTGTTCCATCTCTCTCCCTTCTACCCCGTGGGTGGACTAATCTCCATCTGTTCCATCTCACTCCCTTCTACCCTGTGCGTGGACTAATCTCCATCTGTTCCATCTCACTCACTTCTACCACGTGTGTGGACTAATCTCCATCTGTTCCATCTCACTCACCATCTACCCCGTGTGTGCACTAACCTCCATCTGTTCCATCTCACTCCCTTCTACCCTGTGCGTGGACTAATCTCCATCTGTTCCATCTCACTCACTTCTACCACGTGTGTGGACTAATCTCCATCTGTTCCATCTCACTCACTTCTACCACGTGTGTGGACTAACCTCCATCTGCTCCATCTCACTCCCTTCTACCACGTGTGTGGACTAATCTCCATCTCTTCCATCTCACTCACCTTCTACCACGTGTGTGGACTAATCTCCATCTGCTCCATCTCACTCACCTTCTACCACGTGTGTGGACTAACCTCCATCTGCTCCATCTCACTCCCTTCTAACCGTGGCTGAGTGTCGATGAGGCGCCGTACCCCCCTGGCTCTGCCAGCAGAGGGCAGTGCGGCAAAAAACGAGACAGCCGCCGAAGGGGGTTGGGCGGATCGCCCGCCGATGGGTCGCGAGCCTCCCTCCTGCCCCGTGGGGGCGGGCGCCGATGAGGAGCCGAAGAGGGCGGGCGGTTCCGGCGGGGCGCGCGGACCGACCCCGCACGGTTTTCTTCCGGCGCCCGTTGACGATGCTCTGCCGCCGGTGCCGCGCGTCTCAGGTGCATCTGTCGTGCCCGCTGTGCCGGCGCCGCGTGGCCACGTGGCACCGCACGATGGCGCGCCGGGGCTCGCTGGTGGACGCCGGCCTCTGGGACAGCGTGCGGCGCTCCTTCCCCGAGCGCTGCCGGCGCCGCCTGCGCGAGGAGGGGACGCGCGGCGGCGGCGGCGCCCGGCGCGGCGACGGCGGTGACGGCAAGGACGGCGACGACGACGACGACGACGGTGACGGAGGAGGAGAGCGCGAGCCTGTGGGTGGCGGACGAGGAGGTGAAGATGGCTGTGAAGGTGAGGTGACTGCCGCGGTGGCGGTGGTGGGGGAAATTGTGATGGTGGTGGTGGACATGATGATGGCGACGGTGGTGATGATGATGGTGATGTTGATGATGGTGGTGGTGGACATGATGATGGCGACGGTGGTGATGATGATGGTGATGTTGATGATGGTGGTGGTGGACATGATGATGGCGACGGTGGTGATGATGATGGTGATGTTGATGATGGTGGTGGTGGACATGATGATGGTGGCGGTGGTGATGATGATGGTGATGTTGATGATGATGATGGTGGTGGTGGGGGAGATTGTGACGATGGTTGTGGACATGATGGCGGTGGTGGTGATGTTGGTGATGATGGTGGTGGGGAGATTGTGATGATGGTTGTGGACATGATGATGGCGACGGTGGTGATGATGGTGATGATGATGATGGTGATGTTGATGATGGTGGTGGTGGACATGATGATGGCGGCGGTGGTGATGATGATGGTGATGTTGATGATGATGGTGGTGGTGGTGGGTGAAATTGTGACGATGGTGGTAGACATGATGATGGTGGCGGTGGTGATGATGATGGTGATGTTGATGATGATGATGGTGGTGGTGGGGGAGATTGTGACGATGGTTGTGGACATGATGGCGGTGGTGGTGATGATGATGGTGATGATGGTGGTGGGGAGATTGTGATGATGGTTGTGGACATGATGATGGCGACGGTGGTGATGATGGTGATGTTGGTGACGGTGGTGGTGGGGGAGATTGTGACGATGGTGGTCTTTGATGATGGTGGTGGAGGTAGTAGTGGTGGTGATAGCGGTGGTGGCGAATGTGGTGGAGGTGGTGATAATGGTGACGATGGTGATGATGGTGGCGATGATGACAGTGGTGGAGGTAGTAGTGGTGGTGATAGCAGTGGTGGTGAATGTGGTGGAGGTGGTGATGATGGTGACGATGATGGTGGCGATGATGACGGTGGTGGAGGTAGTAGTGGTGGTGATAGCGGTGGTGGCGAATGTGGTGGAGGTGGTGATGATGGTGACGATGATGGTGGCAATAATGACGGTGGTGGAGGTAGTAGTGGTGGTGATAGCAGTGGTGGTGAATGTGGTCGAGGTGGTGATGATGGTGACGATGATGGTGGCGATGATGACGGTGGTGGAGGTAGTAGTGGTGGTGATAGCGGTGGTGACGAATGTGGTGGAGGTGGTGATGATGGTGGCGATGATGACGGTGGTGGCTGTATGTGCAGTTAAACCTTGTATTGCGAGCATAATTCGTTCCGGAAACGTGTTTGTAATCCAAAGCGCTCATATATCAGTTGTCATCACGTGACGCTCGGCAGTACAAAGCGTGTACACGTACTATACTACTCGTATTGCAAGACCCTCGCTCGTTTATCAAATTAATATTTATTTTAAAATGTTGCTTATCTTGCAAAACACTCGCAGAGCAAGTTACTCGCAATCCACAAGGTTTTCCTTTTTGCGTCCAGAGTGTCCGTGCTCGCGCGCCACTGCTAATGCAGCAGCAGCAGCGGCATCGTCAAATAATTTGTGTCGCATGCGTGACACATGGTCTTGTAGCCCATTCCAGCCTTGTGTAGGTCTACAATCTTGTCCCTGACATCCTTGGAGAGCTCTTTGGTCTTGGCCATGGTGGAGAGTTTGGGATCTGATTGATTGATTGATTGCTTCTGTGGACAGGTGTCTTTTACACAGGTGACGAGCTGCGATTAGGAGCACTCCCTTTAAGAGTGTGCTCCTAATCGCAGCTCGTTACATGTATAAAAGACGCCTGGGAGCCAGAAATCTTTCCGGTTGAGAGGGGGTCAAATTCCTATTTCCCTCATTAAAATGCAAATCATTTTATAACATTTTTGACGTGCGTTTTTCTGGATTTTTGTTGTTGTTATTCTGTCTCTCACCGTTCAAATTAATAAACCTACCATTAGAATTATAGACTGATGATTTCTTTGTCAGTGGGCAAACGCACAAAATCAGCGGGGGATCAAATACGTTTTTCCCTCGCTGTGCGTTGAACTTCTTCCGCGCACCGTACGTAGCCAGCCGTGCCAATCGGAGGTGCGATTGGCGCGACGTTCATCATGCTGCTCCGCCCTTAATGGGCGCTCGCTGACGTCTCATTCGCCGCGCGTGCAGTCTGGTCTCCGTTGTCAGGTCACCGACAGTCGCTGTGTGAACCGGGGGAGTTGGGCCGGGAGTTCAGATCCATGTGGCATAAGGTACGGGGAAGCGTCCGTGACCTACCTCTCATTCGCTCGCAACCCACTCGTTTAACTCCAGGTAAGCCTCACGGAGTCTAAAGACCGTTTGCCTGCGGGCTCCTGCCACGGTGGTGGAATGTTAACTACCTCGCCTGGTAGACGGGTCGTCATCGTCGTCGTCGGTGGTTCGATCGCGACCTTGACGATGCCCGGGGCTTTATGATTTGGAAGTTTCCACGTTCTCCTCGTGGGGCGCGTGGATTTTCCTCCGGGCCCTCCGGTTTTTCCCTCCGCAATTTTTGAGAATGGCCACGCGTTCGCAGCATTTGCGCGGCGAATTCGGCGGCTCGCGATGCGAGGCGCCTCGTTGGGCCGTCGTGCGCGATAGCCAGGGTAGCTACGTGGCTCAGCAAAGGGGCCTTTGCCTGGTGAAATAAAAAATAGTTACTCTTTGGTTCTATTGGGTAAAGTCACGTAGGTGAAAATAAAATTAACAAAAAATCACGACGTTTCGGCCACAACACAAGCGGCCTTCATCAGGTGAAGGGACGAGACTGTCTGGAGGACAGCGCTGGAGTGGAAGAAGCCACGCTTGGCTTCTTCCACTCCAGCCACGCTTGGCTTCTTCCACTCCAGTGCTGTCCTCCAGACAGTCTCGTCCCTTCACCTGATGAAGGCCGCTTGTGTTGTGGCCGAAACGTCGTGATTTTTTGTTATTTTATTTTTCACCTACGTGACTTTACCCAATAGAACCAAAGAGTATGGATCCTAGCAGTCACGAAAGCTTTAAATCTAAAAAAAAAATAGTTCATTTTTATAATAACAAAAAACTACCACGTTTTTTTTTTCCTTCTTCTTCTTCTTCAGCCTGATGACGACTGCTTGCGTTGCGATCGAAACGTCGTAGTTTTTGTTATTTTTGTTATTTTCTTTGAGCCTATCTACGCGACTTTACCCTAAAGACCCCAAAGAATGCCAATTCCTGCAGTCACGAAAGCTTTCAGTCGAATTAACTTTTTTAGTTTTTTAGTCTCGCAATCGCGGGGGTGGGTGGGGGGGGATTGGTGGTGGTGGAGGAGCGGTTCTTTTGCCGTGCGTGCGAACCCGGCCGAGCAATCGGCATGAGGCTCCGGCGGTGGCCCGTCACGAGCTCCGTGTGCCGGCCTTCGCGGGCACTGCTGCTGCCCGGCAACGGCACTCGGCCCAGCAGCAGGCTGCTAAGAGGTTAGACCCGGGGTGGGGGGGGTTGGTGGAAATCTTCGTCTCTGTGTGCGTGCGTGCGTGTGTGTGTGCGTGTGTCTGTGTCCCCGTCTCCACCCCTCCTCCGTGGGTAGTTTGAGTCCGAGCGCCGTGCTCGCCAGGCGGAAGAGCAGCGAGCTTCCGAGATGTTCATCAGGGAGCTGCTCACCGTGGAGGAGGCGCAGAGGCGCCCGCCGCCGGTGGGGGCAGACGCTCGGCTACGGCTTCACCTGCTGCTCACCTACTCAAACCTGCAACTCACCTGCACTCGCCTACACTCACCTACAGCTCGACTAAACTCGCCTAGACTCACCTACAGCTCCACTAAGTTAACCTACAGCTCCACTAAACTCACCTGCACTCGCCTACACTCACCTACAGCTCCACTAAACTCGCCTAGACTCACCTACAGCTCCACTAAACTCACCTACAGCTCCACTAAACTCACCTACACTCACCTACAGCTCCACTAAACTCACCTACACTCACCTACAGCTCCACTAAACTCGCCTAGACTCACCTACAGCTCCACTAAACTCACCTAGACTTACCTACAGCTCCACTAAACTCACCTACAGCTCCACTAAACTCACCTAGACTCACCTACAGCTCCACTAAACTCACCTAGACTTACCTACAGCTCCACTAAACTCACCTACAGCTCCACTAAACTCACCTAGACTCACCTACAGCTCCACTAAACTCACCTACACTCACCTACAGCTCCACTAAACTCGCCTAGACTCACCTACAGCTCCACTAAACTCACCTACACTCACCTACAGCTCCACTAAACTCACCTAGACTCACCTACAGCTCCACTAAACTCACCTAGACTCACCTACAGCTCCACTAAGCTCACCTACAGCTCCACTAAACTCACCTGCACTCGCCTACACTCACCTACAGCTCCACTAAACTCGCCTAGACTCACCTACAGCTCCACTAAGCTCACCTACAGCTCCACTAAACTCACCTGCACTCACCTACAGCTCCACTAAGCTCACCTACAGCTCCACTAAACTCACCTGCACTCGCCTACACTCACCTACAGCTCCACTAAACTCGCCTAGACTCACCTACAGCTCCACTAAGCTCACCTACAGCTCCACTAAACTCACCTGCACTCGCCTACACTCACCTACAGCTCCACTAAACTCGCCTAGACTCACCTACAGCTCCACTAAACTCGCCTACACTCACCTACAGCTCCACTAAACTCGCCTAGACTCACCTACAGCTCCACTAAACTCGCCTAGACTCACCTACAGCTCCACTAAACTCGCCTAGACTCACCTACAGCTCCACTAAGCTCACCTACAGCTCCACTAAACTCACCTGCACTCACCTGCACTCACCTACAGCTCCACTAAGCTCACCTACAGCTCCACTAAACTCACCTGCACTCGCCTACACTCACCTACAGCTCCACTAAACTCGCCTAGACTCACCTACAGCTCCACTAAGCTCACCTACAGCTCCACTAAACTCACCTGCACTCACCTACAGCTCCACTAAGCTCACCTACAGCTCCACTAAACTCACCTGCACTCGCCTACACTCACCTACAGCTCCACTAAACTCGCCTAGACTCACCTACAGCTCCACTAAGCTCACCTACAGCTCCACTAAACTCACCTGCACTCGCCTACACTCACCTACAGCTCCACTAAACTCGCCTAGACTCACCTACAGCTCCACTAAACTCACCTAGACTCACCTACAGCTCCACTAAACTCGCCTAGACTCACCTACAGCTCCACTAAACTCACCTAGACTCACCTACAGCTCCACTAAACTCACCTAGACTCACCTACAGCTCCACTAAACTCACCTACACTCACCTACAGCTCCACTAAACTCACCTACAGCTCCACTAAACTCACCTAGACTCACCTACAGCTCCACTAAACTCACCTAGACTCACCTACAGCTCCACTAAACTCACCTACAGCTCGACTAAACTCACCTACACTCACCTACAGCTCCACTAAACTCACCTACAGCTCCACTAAACTCACCTGCACTCGCCTACACTCACCTACAGCTCGACTAAACTCACCTACACTCACCTACAGCTCCACTAAACTCACCTACAGCTCCACTAAACTCACCTGCACTAACCTCCAACTCATCTACTCTCACGTGCCGCTTACCTACACCCATCTGCAGCGCGGCTATACCTATTTACACTCAACTACAGCTCAACTAAAGTCACCTCCACTCACCTACAGCTCGACTAAACTCACCTACACTCACCTACAGCTCCACTAAACTCACCTACACTCACCTACAGCTCCACTAAACTCACCTACAGCTCCACTAAACTCACCTACAGCTCCACTAAACTCACCTACACTCACCTACAGGTCAACTAAACTCACCTACAGCTCAATTAAACTCACCTACACTCACTTACAGCTCACTCCCACTCACCCAGGCTCACACAGATTCCAGATTTCGCTCAGTATGCATTGGCTGCTGTGCATCTGTGTGTCCAGATGTCGCCCTTCAAGAGGCTGAGGAGAGAGCGATTCTACAACACACGGCTCCCGGTGTCCCGGTACACAGCGCTCATAAACGCTCACCCACACTCACCCACCCACACTCACCCACCCACACTCACCCACACTCACCCACACTCACCCACCCACACTCACCCACACTCACCCACCCACACTCACCCACACTCACCCACACTCACCCACCCACACTCACCCACACTCACCCACACTCACCCACACTCACCCACCCACACTCACCCACACTCACCCACCCACACTCACCCACCCACACTCACCCACACTCACCCACCCACACCGATCCACACTCACCCACCCACACTCACCCAGGCTCACCCACCCACACTCACCCACACTCACCCACCCACATTCACCCTTGCTCACCCACCCACACTCACCCACACTCACCCACCCACACTCACCCACACTCACCCACCCACACTCACCCACGCTCACTCACCCACCCACACCCACCCACACTCACCCACCCACACTCACCCACGCTCACCCACCCACCCACACTCACCCACCCACACTCACCCACACTCACCCACCCACACCCACCCACACTCACCCACCCACACTCAACCATGCTCACCCACCCACACTCACCCACCCACACTCACCCACACTCACCCACCCACATTCACCCTCGCTCACCCACCCACACTCACCCACCCACCCACACCCACCCACCCACACTCACCCACCCACACTGATCCACGCTCACCCACCCACACTGATCCACACTCACCCACCCACACCCACCCACACTCACCCAAACTCACCCACCCACACTCACCCACCCACACTGACCCACACTCACCCACCCACACTGATCCACCCACCCACACTGATCCATGCTCACCCACCCACACTCACCCACACTCACCCACCCACACCCACCCACACTGACCCACGCTCACCCACCCACACTGACCCACGCTCACCCACCCACACTGATCCACACTCACCCACGCTCACCTACCCACACTCACCCACCCACACCCACCCACACTGACCCACCCACACTGATCCTCACCCACCCACCCACACTGATCCACCCACACCCACCCACACTCACCCACACTCACCCACCCACACTGATCCACACTCACCCACCCACACTGATCCACACTCACCCACGCTCACCTACCCACACTCACCCACCCACACCCACCCACACTGTTCCACACTCACACACCCACACTGACTCACACACACTCACCCACCCACACTGATCCACACTCACCCACCCACACTGATCCACGCTCACCCACGCTCACCTACCCACACTCACCCACCCACACCCACCCACACTGTTCCACACTCACACACCCACACTGACTCACACACACTCACCCACCCACACTGATCCACACTCACCCACCCACACTGATCCACACTCACCCATGCTCACCTACCCACACTCACCCACCCACACCCACCCACACTGTTCCACACTCACACACCCACACTGACTCACACACACTCACCCACCCACACTGATCCACACTCACCCACCCACACTGATCCACGCTCACCCACCCACACTCACCCATGCTCACCTATCCACACTCACCCACCCACACCCACCCACACTGTTCCAAACTCACACACCCACACTGACCCACGCTCACCGATGCTCACCCACCGCTCAGGGCTGCCACCGGTGACGATTATCTGTACCGGTCCTGGGCCTCCCCTAGGTCGTCTCAAACGAGTAGCTGGTGTAGCGGCGTTTAGTCAACATCGCCACTGGGGAGACAAAGGCGGCCGGGCGTGGTTGCCGGCCCCCCACCTCCTCTTGTGCCACAGTGCCGGCCTTCGTAGGTGCTCGCTAACAGCACTTGCCCCTACAGTCTGTTAAGGCTACACGGTGGCGGGGTGGGACCTTTGTCTTTTGCGTCCGTCCGTGTGAGCCTGCGTCCATCCGTCTCTCACCGCAGGCCTCTGTCCGAAGTTGGGAACAGACAAAGCGACTTCGGTGAACTGCAGCGGAAGCATGTGTCCAGGCAGAGAAAGGTAACACTCACTCAGTCGCTCGTTAATTCATTCCGTCACGCGCTCATTCACTCGTTCATTCGCTCGCTGACTTTCTCGCCCGCCCGCCCGTTCACCCGCTCACCCACCCGCTCACCCACCCGCTCGCCCACCCGCTCGCCCACCCGCTCACCCACCCGCCCGCCCGCCCGCTCGCTCACCCGCTCACCCGCTCACCCACTCACTCGCCCACCCGTTCACCCGCCCGCCCGCTCGCCCACCCACTCACCCGCTCACCTGCTGACCCCCCCGCTCACCCCTCCCTCTCACCCCCCCCCCCCCCCCCCCCCCCCCCCGCTTACCCCGCCGCCACCTCTTCGTGCGTTTGCCTCCCGCTTCGACGTCGATTCTCCCCCTCCTCCACCCTCACCCAACCCCCCACCCCCACCGCACTGACCAGCGTGGTAAAGTACGGTCAAGCCGCCCCGTGACCGACACGGCACGCGCGAGGCCATCAGATGTGAGGTGAGACGAGAGACGAGTCCGACCGGCACTTGGCGTGTGCTCCCTTCCAGGCTGGCCCCCGACGTCTGGGACAGCCTGGAAGAGTAGGCCAAACCACCGAGAACTCGTCGGCGGAAATTGCGGCGCCGCTCCCTTACGCGTCCTCACCGTTTGTCCCCCCCCCCCCCCCCCGTTGTCGCTTAATCCTCCAGGCCGCATGGAGAGAGCCGGCCGCCACCACCGCCGCCACCACCACCACCACCAGCAACGCCCCTGCCACCACGGCAGCCGGCCAAACCCCGCGGCGGAACGAGCCGTCGCCGACCCGCGGAACCCACGCCGCCTCCGCCGCCTCTGCCGCCATCCAACCGAGGCCATCGCAGGTGCCCCACGTGGTCATCAGCCGGGTCTGGAACCTTTTGGAGCTCGCCGAGACATCGTCGGGGAACTGGCCGACGGCTACGGCGCCGCCGAAGGAGGGTCGTCGTGGCGACGCAGGCGACGGCGCTACAGCGGGATCAGCAGCAGCACCACCACCACCAGCAGCAGCGGCAGCAGCTGCAGCAGCGGCAGCAGGTCCAGCGTTCTCATCAGTATCAGCGGCAGCAGCACGGGCAGCAGTAGTATCAGCAGCACCGGCAGCAGTAGTATCAGCAGCGCCGGAAGCAGTAGTATCAGCAGCGCGGGCAGCAGTAGTATCAGCAGTACCGGTAGCAGTAGTATCAGCAGCACCGGCAGCAGTAGTATCAGCAGCACCGGCAGCAGTAGTATCAGCAGCGCCGGCAGCAGTAGTATCAGCAGCGCGGGCAGCAGTAGTATCAGCAGTACCGGTAGCAGTAGTATCAGCAGCGCCGGCAGCAGTAGTATCAGCAGCGCCGGCAGCAGTAGTATCAGCAGCGCGGGCAGCAGTAGTATCAGCAGCGCCGGCAGCAGTAGTATCAGCAGCACGGGCAGCAGTAGTATCAGCAGCGCGGGCAGCAGTAGTATCAGCAGCGCCGGCAGCAGTAGTATCAGCAGCACGGGCAGCAGTAGTATCAGCAGTACCGGCAGCAGTAGTATCAGCAGCGCCGGCAGCAGTAGTATCAGCAGCGCCGGCAGCAGTAGTATCAGCAGCACGGGCAGCAGTAGTATCAGCAGTACCGGCAGCAGTAGTATCAGCAGCGCCGGCAGCAGTAGTATCAGCAGCGCCGGCAGCAGTAGTATCAGCAGCACGGGCAGCAGTAGTATCAGCAGCGCGGGCAGCAGTAGTATCAGCAGCGCCGGCAGCAGTAGTATCAGCAGTACCGGTAGCAGTAGTATCAGCAGCGCCGGCAGCAGTAGTATCAGCAGCACGGGCAGCAGTAGTATCAGCAGTACCGGCAGCAGTAGTATCAGCAGTACCGGTAGCAGTAGTATCAGCAGCGCCGGCAGCAGTAGTATCAGCAGCACGGGCAGCAGTAGTATCAGCAGTACCGGCAGCAGTAGTATCAGCAGCACCGGCAGCAGTAGTATCAGCAGCACCGGCAGCAGTAGTATCAGCAGCGCGGGCAGCAGTAGTATCAGCAGCGCGGGCAGCAGTAGTATCAGCAGTACCGGCAGCAGTAGTATCAGCAGCGCCGGCAGCAGTAGTATCAGCAGCGCGGGCAGCAGTAGTATCAGCAGTACCGGCAGCAGTAGTATCAGCAGCGCCGGCAGCAGTAGTATCAGCAGCGCCAGCAGCAGTAGTATCAGCAGCGCCGGCAGCAGTAGTATCAGCAGTACCGGCAGCAGTAGTATCAGCAGCGCCGGCAGCACCGGCAGCACCAGCGACTGCACTGCGGGCAGCAGTACCGGCAGTACCAACAGCAGCAGTGCCGGCAGAAGTAGTATCGGCGGCACCGGCGGAATCGGCGGCACCGGCAGAACCGGCGGCACCGACAACAGTACGGGCGGCACCGATGATATCAGCAGCACCGGCGGCATCGTCGGCGCCGGCCGCTGCAGCGGCACCGGCGGCGGCGCTGGCAGCAGGAGAGGAGGCGGAGGGCGGGAGGGGCGAGGGAGTGGCTGCGGAGCGAGGAGTTGTCTCAGGGCGGGATCCGGACGGGGGTGGCTCTGACGGAGGAGGAGGAGGAGGAGGAGGAGCGGGGGGAGGGGCGGCTGCGGGTCCCAGTGGGGGGCCCGTGGTGGGCCCAGTGCGGTCCCTCGGGATGAAGAAGAAGAGGAGGAGGAAGAGGGGGAGCAAGTGGAGCCGACAGATTTACACCACGAGGAAGAAGATGAAGCCGACGCTCGCCGATGGAGGAGGAGGAGGAGGAGAGACTCTGCAAGGAGCCTGTGCCGGTACGCCCATCGCACGCACGTACGCCCACATGGACACACACACACATCACACACACACACGCACACATGGACACACACACACACCGCACGCCCACATGGACACACACACACACACACCGCACGCCCACATGGACACACACACAGACCGCACGCACGCACGCCCACATGGACACACACACACACCGCACGCCCACATGGATACACACACACACACACCGCACGCCCACATGGACACACACACAGACCGCACGCACGCACGCCCACATGGACACACACACACACCGCATGCACGCACGCCCACATGGACACACACACACACGCACGCCCACATGGACACACACACACAACGCATGCACGCACGCCCACATGGACACACACACACACCGCATGCACGCACGCCCACATGGACACACACACACACCGCATGCACGCACGCACGCCCACATGGACACACACACACACACCGCACGCACAATAAAAAACAAAGACATGCACGCATGCATGCACGCACAACACACACACGCGCGCGTGTGCTCACACACGCATGCACGCACGCATGCACGCACACTCAAAGACAAAGATCCCACGTATAACCGTAACAGACTGTTGGGGCAAGTGCTGTTAGCGGGCAGCACCTATGAAGGCGGTGTTGGCTGTGAGACAGAATCGAACTCGGGTCGCCAAGTTTGTAGTGCCGTGCGTGTGACGCTCTGTGATGTTGCTGCGTTGACACCGCCGTGCGTGTGACGCTCTGCGCTGTTGCTGCGTTGACGCCCTGCGTGTGACGCTCTGCGCTGTTGCTGCTTTGACATTGTTGTTGTTGTTGTCTTTGTGGCCGCGTGTGCTCAGCTCTGAGCATGGAGGAGTGCGACCACCAGCTGGCCGTGCGCCTGCAGCGCCGCTACTCGCTGGAGGTGCGCTGCCAAATGGACCCCTGCCGACGACGCACCCGGGCGGAGAGAGCCGCATCCCGTCCCGAGGCCACCGCCGATTACAGCTGCACTACCATAACCGGCTCTGCCAACGAAACCAGCACCAGCCGCACTGCCAATACCACCACCGGCACAACCATCACCGCCGACACGACCGCCGGCACGACCGCCGCCGCAACCACCGGCGACGGAAATTCCGGCAGCACGACTACCGATAGCAGCACCGCCGCCGGCATCACCGGTACCGGCAACTGTACTGCCAATGCGAGCGCTGATGGTACCGGCAGTAGCACGAGCAGCACTGTTCGTGACGCCGGCTGGACTACCGGTTGCACCCAGCGCCCCGGCAACAGCGGCACCAGCAATGCCAGCGCTGCCAATGCCAGCTGCACTACCGGCACCACCACTCGTTATCGCAACGCTACCAACGCCGGCACTGCCAGTAAAAGCAGAGATAACATCTCCGCTGCTGACACCATCAGAGATAACATCTGCACTACCGACACCATCAGAGATAACATCTGCACTACCGACACCATCAGAGATAACTTCTGCGCTACCGACACCATCAGAGATAACATCTGCACTACCGACACCATCAGAGATAACATCTGCACTACCGACACCATCAGAGATAACATCTGCCCTGCCGATACCATCAGAGATAACATCCGCACTACCGACACCATCAGAGATAACATCCGCACTACCGACACCATCAGAGATAACATCTTCACTGCCGACACCATCAGAGATAACATCTGCACTGCCGACACCATCAGAGATAACATCTTCACTGCCGACACCATCAGAGATAACATCTGCACTGCCGACACCATCAGAGATAACATCCGCCCTGCCGATACCATCAGAGATAACATCTGCACTACCGACACCATCAGAGATAACATCTGCACTGCCGACACCATCAGAGATATCATCTGCACTACTGATACAATCAGAGATATCATCTGCACTACCGACACCATCAGAGATAACATCTGCCCTGCCGATACCATCAGAGATAACATCTGCGCTACCGACACCATCAGAGATAACATCTGCACTACCGATACCACTGCTGATGCCGGCAGTGGTATCGGCTGCACTGCCAGCGCCGACACTAGCGCCACCACCACCGCCACCACCCTCACCACGACTCGCACGTAACTCATGCACAACGTCACCAGCCACCGCCCACGCCAGCCGACCAGCCAGCCTCTCCCGAGACTGGCTAAGGGCAGCAGTAGCAGCAGCACCACTATCAGCAAATGACAACAGCACTCGCATCAGTAGCAGCATTGCTAGCAGTAGCGCTAGCAGCAGCAAGTAGCAGTATTGCTAGTAGCAGTAGCAGCAAGTAGCAGCATTGCTAGTAGCAGCAGTAGCAGCAAGTAGCAGTAGCAGCATTGCTAGTAGCAGCAGTAGCAAGTAGCAGTAGCAGCATTGCTAGTAGCAGCAGCAGCAAGTAGCAGTAGCAGCATTGCTAGTACCAGCAGCAGCAAGTAGCAGTAGCAGCATTGCTAGTAGCAGCAGCACTAGTAGCAGTAGCAGTATTGCTAGTAGCAGTAGCAGCAAGTAGCAGTAGCAGCATTGCTAGTAGCAGCAGCAGCAGCAGCAGCAAGTAGCAGTAGCAGCATTGCTAGTAGCAGCAGCAGCAGCAAGTAGCAGCATTGCTAGTAGCAGCAGCAGCAGCAAGTAGCAGCATTGCTAGTAGCGGCATTAGCAGCAAGTAGCAGTAGCAGCATTGCTAGCAGTAGCAGCATTGCTAGTAGTAGCAGTAGCAGCATTGCTAGTAGTAGCAGTAGCAGCAACTAGCAGTAGTAGCATTGCTAGTAGCAGCACTAGTAGCAATAGCAGCATTGCTAGTAGCAGCAGCAGCACTAGCAGCAAGTAGCAGTAGCAGCATTGCTAGTAGCAGCAGCAAGTAGCAGCATTGCTAGTAGCAGCAGCACTAGCTGCACGAGTAGTAGCACTAGCAGCAGCTCCAGCAGCCACTCACCATACCACACCACTCAGCCCATCACTCACCATGCCACTCACCATAGCGCACCACTCACCCCATCACTCACCACTCACTCCATTACTCACCACTCACCCCATCACTCACCACACCACTCACCATCAATCCCACACCACTCACCCCATCACTCACCACGCCACTCGCCATCACTCACCACTCAGGCAATCGCTGACCACGCTACTCCCCACACCACACCACTCACCCCATCACTCGCCACTCAGCTCATCGCTCACCACTCCCTATACCACACCACTCACTCCATCACTCACCACTCAGACCATCACTCACCACGCCACTCACCATCAATCCCACACCACGCCACTCACCATCACTCACCACTCAGCCCATCGCTCACCACGCCACTCCCCACACCACACCGCTCACCCTATCACTCGCCACTCCCCATACCACACCACTCCATCACTCACCACTCAGACCATCACTCACCACGCCACTCACCATCAATCTCACACCAATCACCACTCAGCCCATCGCTCACCACGCTACTCCCCATACCACACCACTCACTCCATCACTCACCACGCCACTCACCATCAATCCCACACCACTCACTCCATCACTCACCATCACTCACCACTCAGCCCATCGCTCACCACGCTACACCCCACACCACACCACTCACCCCATCACTCACCACGCCACTCACACCACCACCCCTCACACAGCGAAGTCATGTGCAGTGTTTCCCTCGTTATTTGCGAGGGATACATTCTGGAGATGCTCATGAAAAGCAAATTTCGCGGATGATATTGGCTCTACGAATATCGTACAGCGCGCAATGTCTGCAGATGCTTCTAAAGCTTCAAGAAGTTATCTCGTCATCGACCACTTTATCTCTCATCACTTTATCTCTCACCGCTTTATATCTCACCACTTTATCTCTCACCACTTTAACTCTCACCACTTTATTTCTCGTCACTTTATCTTTCGTCACTTCTGTGCATTGATATTTATAGTGTCCACCATGGCCCGTCGTGAGACAGCAGGTGGAGCTGCATGTTAAGTTATTACGGTTGTTGTTGTGGTTGTTGTGGTTGTCGTTGTTGAGTTTACAGCCATTCACTACCACCTCCATCACCACCTCCATCATCACCACCACCTCCATCCCCACCACCTCCATTACCATCACCACCTCCACCATCACCACCACCTCCATCACCATGACTTTCCTCACAACCTCTACCACTATCATCACCATCAGTTTGGTAGTAGTGTTTGCTTCATAGTATCTGGTTAGTAGTGTGTTGTTTGCACTGTCTAGTTAGTGTCTAGTTAGTAGAGTGTGGTTAGAAGTGTCTCGTGTGCAGTGTCTAGTTAGCAGTGTCTAGTTAGTAGTGTCTCGTGTGCAGTGTCTGGTTAGTAGTATCAGCGTTTGGTTTGAATTCCAAGTTTAACTGTTAACCTTTTTCCCCGTTCATTGAACAAATCGTAACGCTCGGAAGCTGCGATTCCAGCTTGAGCAGCCGGCGGCGTGTACCTTCGGCTTGCATTTCCGCGCGCGGCTTTTGCCAGTTTTCCCGTCAAGGGGCGCAGCATCAGAGCGCGTCGTCGCAGCGTGCGAGCGGGCGGGCGGGCGGCCGGGATTCGCGATTAACGCAAGGCCGTCGGCACATGGGCAGAGACACGCTCCTCTACGGGGGAGAGGGGCGTGAAGGCACACACCGTCCCTCAGAACGACGTCGCTATCCGCTCCGGAGCCACGTCTCGCGGAGAAATACAAATCCTAGATTTGAAGTTTGCGTAGACTGCAAGGATCATCCATTCTCTTAGTTTCTTTCGGTAAAGTCGCGTAGGTTAAAAATACATAAATACAATTTAATGAAATGAGACCCAAAATGTAGTTGTTTTCATTTGTGTTTTATTTAATTGAATTTCATTTGTTTTTCACCTACGTGGCTTTACCGAAAGAACCAAAGAAAAACTGAAAAAACCCCAAACGACGTCAGAAATTGTCGTTGGCGGTCTACAAAGCGAACGAACGAACGGGCGAGCATCTTGAACTTTTAAAACTCCGGAGCTCGCCTGCGGTGCGTGCCGCCCCCCCCACCTTTGGTGCCGTCGTGCATCGTCACCTTATCGTCCCGTTGCGAGTCGCTTCGCCCTCGTCGCCCTCGCCGCTCCGTTTGGTCTCACGCGAGCCTGACTGCTGGTCCCATCGTCGTCGCCGCCATCGCCGCCTTCGAACTTTCGCCGTGCGCCGGTCTCTAGCGGTCGTGCCTGCCGTGCGTGGATCCTCGCCACCTGCGTGACCTCTGGCCGCGCCGCGGACGCTGCCGTTGTTTAAGCGCCGCAAACGCGTTGTCTGACGTGGTGCGTCGCTTGGCCCCGGCCGCTTCTTCAGGAACCCAAATACGAGCCCCGGATAGTCAGCAGTGCTGGCTCTGCAGAGATTCACGGCCATCGTGAACCCACTGAGAGAGAGGAACACCCAGACCCAGGGCTCGAACCCAGGTTGTCAGCAGCGCTGGCTCAGTGTCACCGACACGGCCATCGTGAACCCACTGAGAGAGACACCCAGACCCAGGGCTCGAACCCAGCCTCTCAGTGTCTCCGACATGGCCATCATGAACCCACTGAGAGAGACACCCAGACCCAGGGCTCGAACCCAGGTTGTCAGCAGCGCTGGCTCAGTGTCACCGACACGACCATCGTGAACCTAATGAGACACCCAGACCCAGGGCTCGAACCCAATCAGTGCTGGTTCAGTGGATCGGACACGGCCATCGTGAACCCACTGAGAGAGACACCCAGACCCAGGGCTCGAACCCAGCCTCTCAGTGTCTCCGACACGGCCATCGTGAACCCACTGAGAGAGACACCCAGACCCAGGGCTCGAACCCAGCCTCTCAGTGTCTCTGACTCGGCCATCGTGAACCCACTGAGAGAGAGACACCCAGACCCAGGGCTCGAACCCAGCGTCTCAGTGTCTCTGACACGGCCATCGTGAACCCACTGAGAGAGAGACACCCAGACCCAGGGCTCCAACCCAGCCTCTCAGTGTCACCGACACGGCCATCGTGAACCCACTGAGAGAGAGACACCCAGACCCAGGGCTCGAACCCAGCCTCTCAGTGTCTCCGACATGGCCATCATGAACCCACTGAGAGAGACACCCAGACCCAGGGCTCGAACCCAGGTTGTCAGCAGCGCTGGCTCAGTGTCACCGACACGACCATCGTGAACCTAATGAGACACCCAGACCCAGGGCTCGAACCCAATCAGTGCTGGTTCAGTGGATCGGACACGGCCATCGTGAACCCACTGAGAGAGACACCCAGACCCAGGGCTCGAACCCAGCCTCTCAGTGTCTCCGACACGGCCATCGTGAACCCACTGAGAGAGACACCCAGACCCAGGGCTCGAACCCAGCCTCTCAGTGTCTCTGACTCGGCCATCGTGAACCCACTGAGAGAGAGACACCCAGACCCAGGGCTCGAACCCAGCCTCTCAGTGTCTCTGACACGGCCATCGTGAACCCACTGAGAGAGAGACACCCAGACCCAGGGCTCCAACCCAGCCTCTCAGTGTCACCGACACGGCCATCGTGAACCCACTGAGAGAGAGACACCCAGACCCAGGGCTCGAACCCAGCCTCTTGGTGTCTCTGACTCGGCCATCGTGAACCCACTGAGAGAGAGACACCCAGACCCAGGGCTCGATCCCAGCCTCTCAGTGTCTCTGACACGGCCATCGTGAACCCACTGAGAGAGAGACACCCAGACCCAGGGCTCGATCCCAGCCTCTCAGTGTCTCCGACACGGCCATCGTGAACCCACTGAGAGAGACACCCAGACCCAGGGCTCGAACCCAGCCTCTCAGTGTCTCTGACTCGGCCATCGTGAACCCACTGAGAGAGAGACACCCAGACCCAGGGCTCGAACCTAGCCTCTCAGTGTCTCTGACACGGCCATCGTGATCCCACTGAGAGAGAGACACCCAGACCCAGGGCTCCAACCCAGCCTCTCAGTGTCACCGACACGGCCATCGTGAACCCACTGAGAGAGAGACACCCAGACCCAGGGCTCGATCCCAGCCTCTCAGTGTCTCCGACACGGCCATCGTGAACCCACTGAGAGAGACACCCAGACCCAGGGCTCGAACCCAGCCTCTCAGTGTCTCTGACTCGGCCATCGTGAACCCACTGAGAGAGAGACACCCAGACCCAGGGCTCGAACCTAGCCTCTCAGTGTCTCTGACACGGCCATCGTGATCCCACTGAGAGAGAGACACCCAGACCCAGGGCTCCAACCCAGCCTCTCAGTGTCACCGACACGGCCATCGTGAACCCACTGAGAGAGAGACACCCAG